AATAAAAAGTCGGTGGCGACTCTTGCTCAACCGCACAAGTGCGAATACAAACGCAAAACACATAGTCAGTTCTCCCACCGTATCACACATATAATCATGATTTACTTGTCAGTGTGTATAATTGTGTATATTGATGTATCAGATCTGTGTGTCGGAGCATCTAAGTAATGGGCTGAAATATTGTATTTGAACAACCTCAGATAGAAAGGTTGGTTTTCTATGACTATCAAAATCATCTTCAACAATTTCTCTTTTATGCTATGTTTGTGTTTAGATTATGGAACATAACGGAGCGGAGCAGAGCAGAATGAAACATAACAGGGTGAAGTGGAATACAATAAAGCGAAATGGAATATAGACTCACTCCACTGTTTGAATATTTTATTTAAAATATCGCATTTTATTGCATACACTCAAAATCGGATAGAACAAGATATAGAGGATCGAATAAAATGAGATGAAAAGGGCTTCATCATGTTCAATTTCACTTCATCCATTATTTACAAATTCAAACAATGAAATCTCATTATTTACACTTCGCTCCATACCACCAATCCAAACACAACCTTAATCTATTTTTTATCATCTTCATAAAAAATGTAAAATGGAATTTTGTTTTTGTTTTGCATTCCAAATCCAACCTTGCCAATAAACACCCATGACACTGACATGTTTTCTGTTGTAACAGAGTATCGTTAAGAACAAACCAAAACTATGAGAAAAATTGAGTTTCTTGAAAAAACACAAGAAACCCTATTAGGTTATGCAAAAGAGAGAGAAAATAGAAGAAGAAGAAGAAGAAGAAGAAGAAGAAGAAAGAAATAACAAGATTGGTTATAACTGTTTTACTATTTACTTTCTCTATTAGGGTTTACATATTACAAGTGAATACCAAAAACCAACGCTCTCTCAACAACCTGAGAGAACCAGTATATTTATAGACTACTAAGTTAACTTGAGTAACAAGCTATCTTAAATAATTGGGCTAACAGGCTGGTCCAATTCGACATGCTAACAACATAGCATATTTTCAACAACAACATGTGAATAGACTTTGACTTCATGCTTAACCTATGTCGAACCATGGAAGCTACCCCCGTCGAGACCATAGTTTGGTCCAATATACCACAAATCTCCACCTTGGATCAAACTCTACAACATCACGAGAACAAACTAGTTTTCATCATGTAATTTTATCAACTACATACAGTGGTAACATTTGTAGCTTGGCAATGTCTTAGTGATCATATAACAATAGTATCTTCAATCAAAACCTTCAACACTTGGACTTCTCCATGCTCGATTATTTCTCTAACGAAATGGAGCTTACATCGATGTGTTTGGTTCGTTCATGATAGGCTGAATTCTTTGACATTGCACTTTGGCAGTAACATTTAACAGTGATAACTCGACCTTGAAGTTTCAACTTCTTAGCAAAACCTTTAAGGAACAATGCTTCTTTCAAAGCTTCAGTGAGAGAAATATATTTCGCTTCAGTGGTTGATAAGGCAACAACTTTCTAAGTGATTATTATGCCAAACATAATGGACACATATTCAGAAATAGATTTTCTAGAATCCATATAACCCACATAATCAAAACCGACATATCCTTCAATTTCTACTTTACTATCATCACCACTGGCTCTACCATAAATTAGGACTCTGCTCAGAGACTCATTTATGTACTTTATAATCCACTTCAATGCTTACCAATGTGTCTTTCCAAGATTGACCATATACCTGCTTACAAGGCTCACTTTATACACTATGACTGGCCTTGTACATAGCATAGCATACAACAAAGAACATACTATACAAGCATATGGAATGATATTCATATAGGCTATTTTGACTTTAGTACTAGGACTTTGTGTCGTACTCATCTTAAGCTAAGGATTAGTCGGTGTTACAACAGGCTTTGAATTTAACATATTAAACTTGTCGAGAATCTTCCTTAGGCATGTCTCTTGAGATAAGCATAATCCCGACTGCTTTCTATCTCTCTGGATGTCAATTCCAAGAATTTTGGAGGCAACTCCCAGGTCCTTTATGTCAAACTCCTTATAGAGTTTAGCCTTCCCCTTCACTACATCCTCGACATGGTTAATTGTTATTAGGATGTCATCCACATAAAGAAACAAAATAACAAGTGAATTTCCATGTTAAAATCTGAAGTAAACACAGTGGTCGAACTGACTTTTAGTGAAACCTATGTGTGACATGAACTTGTCGAATCTCCTATTCCATAGTCGAGGAGATTGTTTCAGGTCATACAAAGATCTATTTAGTTTGCACATATAAACCTCATTGCCCTTTGCTTCATACCCTTCAGGTTACTTCGTGAGGCTTGTTTCATTTAGATGACCATACAAGAATTCACATCCATTTATTCAAGTTCTAGGTCGAACTTCGCCACCATGGATAACAACACTCCAATGGATCTATGCTTTACAATAGATGAGAACACGTCATTGAATTTGACTCCTTATTTTTTAGTGAACCCCCTCACTACTAACCTTGTCTTGTATCTCTTCGACATCACTCATTTAATTCCTTCCTTAACCATGAAAATCCACCTATAGTTGACTAACTTGGCCCCTGCAGGATTCTTGATCAACTCCCATGTGTGGTTATCATGAAGAGATTTCATCTCATCATCCATGGCCTTCAGCCATTCAGCCTTATTTCGACTCCTCACAACTTTATTGTAGTCTCTAGGTTCTTCATCAAGAACCTCACTTGCAGAGATTAAGGCAAACACTATGAGATATGCATAATCAAGTCCCTGAGGTGGCTTGATGACTCTTCTCGGTTTGTCTCTTGCTAGTAGGTACTGATTTTCAATTTTCTCATTTTCATCTGCAACTGTTGTTTCTTCTTTGACTTCATCATGGTTATGCAATTGAACATTACTATGCTCCACCTCAACATGAGTTTCTTCCTGTTTCAGCTCCTGCTTAGAGATTTATGCATTTCGACCAACATCATCAATTTTCTTGAACGCCACTTATGCTTCATTGAGAACTACATATCAACTTGTGATACACCTCTAGTGACCTGCCTCTAGGAACCACAATCTATAAGCTTTGACTCCTTTAGGGTACCCAATGAACATGCATCTCAAAGTTATAGGTTCAACTTTGTCTTGCCTAATGTGAGCATAGGCTACACATCCAAATACTCTAAGTCTGTCGAGATTATGTGGATGTCCTGACCAGACTTCTTCGGGTGTCTTCAACCCCGAGGTAGTTGAGAGACATCTATTTATCAGATATGCTGCTGTCGAAACAACCTCAAACCAAAACACCTTATTTGTTTGGAGTCATGTGTCAAGTGCAACTTGAATCTATGATCCATTCCTTGCTCGAATTGTTGCTCGAAACTACCATGACATTATATGAGTCTTAATCATCATGCACAATGGTTGGATTACCATTATCCTTACCACTATTATCCTTTGAGTACAAGACATATTGAACTTCTTCAAAGGTCAGGGATTTCTTCCATATATACAAGAGAGTTTCTTTGAAGTGAGCATGAGACTTAGGTAAATAACACAACAATAATAGTGCTTGATTTTCATCATCGATACTAACCTCGATATTCTCCAGATAAAAAATCAGCTTGTTGAACATATCCAACTACTCAACCAAGACTTTGTCGTCACTCATCTTGAATGAATACATAGCTTGCTTCAAGTACATATGATTTACCAAGGATTTAGTCATGTACAATCCTTTGAGTTTCGTCCATACACTCGTTGTTGTCTTCTCCTTCGAAACATGCCGAAGAACCTTATCACCAAGGCTCAATAAGATGACGTTGTGGACTTTCTCGATCATCGTCGTCTTTTCCTTCTTTGTTAGGGCAACATCCATGGCTTTAACTCCCTTCACCGCTACCAGCTAACCCTGTTGACAAGAAGCGCTCGCATCTTCAAGCGCCATAAATCGAAATCATTAATTCTGGTGAATTTCTCAATCTCAAACTTTATTAACGGCATCTTGCTCCACGCTCACCGAACCAGTTTGTTATAACGAAGTGTCGTTAAGAACAAACCAAAACTATGAGAAAGATTGAGTTTCTTGAACAAACACAAGAAACCCTATTAAGTTTTGTAAAAGAGAGAGAAGATGGAAGAAGAAGAAAGAAATAATAGGATTGTTTATAACTGTTTTACTGTTCACTTTCTCTATTAGGGTTTACAAATTACAAGGGAATACCAACAACCAACACTCTCTTAACAACATGAGAGAACCAATCTATTTACAGACTACTAAGCTAACTTAAGTAACAAGTTATCTTAAACAATTGGGTTAACAAGATGGCCAAATTCGACATATGCTAACAACATAGCATATTTCCGATAACATTATGTGAACAAACTTCGACTTCATGATTAACCTCCTCCGAACCATGGAAGCTACTCTTGTCGAGACCAGAGTTCGATCCAATATACCACACTTTCAGATTATTGTCTTCAGATCTAAGCTTCTTTCGTATATTTGGTATTTTTGGATTTAGAGAAGAAGATGAAGAAGATATTGAAAATCTAGTGATCGATTTTTCCATCGCTAAATTGATTACAAAAGTTTTAAGTTACACATTGACGCCGTTACTAACATTTGAGTGAAAAGGACTAACATGATACATTTTGAAAAGTTAAGAGACCAAAACGATCATTTTAGAAGTTAAAGGATCAAACTGAACCCCAAATAAAAAATAATTGAGGAAAAATGGTATATTACCAATTTAATATTAGGAGACAAGCAGATAAAACTTTTACACTCAGATCAAAGAAACATTAGTATCCTCTGCATAATTTACTCACAAATTGCTTTATAACAATCAAATTATATTACAAATGAGAGAGGGAAAATTTTCAGACAATCCTATTAAACTTCATTGTTGGATATCTGCAGCACTGCACCACATCATGCACAGAACCAAATTCCCAAGTTTACATGAATATGCATTCATGACCACCTTTCCTCAAAGCTAAGCAGCTCTCAATTTTTGGCTTATAGCCTCTTCCGAGTATAACATGCCATTTGGAGAGATAAGCCGCAGAAGGGCTACTGTAAACCGAGCCTAATAGCCATTGAAGAATCACATGTCATAATATTTTCATGAAACAGTAATGATCACATATTTATAAGTTATAGCTCAGAGTCCAACCCATTGAAATCCAGCAAGGGTAAACCAGCATCCCACCAAACCATATCTACTGGAGATCTGACATCAAGGTACATTCGGCGTTAGTTAGTTAGTGTTGTTACCACGTAATGGTTCAAGCAATATTAATATATACGCCAGAAGATCGATAAATAGAGGTTACCAATAATACTAGAGCAGCCAGACAAAAGCATCCACACGTTGACAAGCTAAAAAATCTTAGATCCTCTCCTGCCTGCATAACCAAATGAACAATTAACAAACTTTCAGCGACAGTTGTATATTTTATCAAGAACATACCAGCAATGTTCCCTCCAAGCTGCGAGTAGAGGGTGTCACAGTGAGTGCAATAAAGAATGGAATCAGTGTCCTATGCATCTGCATGACCATTATATATAAAAGTTACTAACTTAGGCCTTAATTTAATTTAACAAGGGAGATACTGAAAGATTCCGAAGTTAATGTTTGAAAGTGCGAGGACTTACGTTCTGGATGACCATCTGATCAGACGTAAATATGTTCGGGAATAACCAAAGAAGAGATGTTCCGACAATCCCTAACAACAATCCAAGTATAGCTCCAATAATTACAAGAGATCTTACTAGCAATCGGGCCTGTCGGTATTACAAAAACTCAGAGAACTTCTAAATATGCAATAGAGAATCTGCAATTCTGATCAGTAGTAAAACTACTATTCCAAACTGAAAAACAAAAGATCTTCGTTCTAAACGCATATATATTAATATAAGGGAAAATTGATTTTTCTGAATCAAAGTTAAGTCTGGTGATTTGTAACATTGTGAATGAGGAATACTATTAACCTTTGTCAAGCTCTTATTTACTCCATACAATAACTCAGGCATAAATGATTGCGCAGTTTGGCAGAGAGGTTCTCCCCATACCGTACACGCCATGTAGATTTGAATCATGACCTGAAGTAAGAGTTTATGTTATCAGATAGAAAGAAAGGGAATAGAGTTGCGAAATGAGAGAAAGGAGTGAAACAAACCTGATGAGCGGCCATTGTTTGTGTTCCGGTTGATGTAGCAACATATATAAGTAGCGAAAAGAAAGCCACCTGAACATCATAAGTTATGAGTTATATCAAAAAGTTAAACTAGCCCACAAATATAATAAAATACTTAATGTGACCTTTGATATTGATGTCAAGTATATAGGAGCAGCAAGACTAAGTATTTTCAGAAATTCCTTCGTTGAAGGAATAGAGAAGGCAAACACGTTGTATCCCCTTTTGTTTAGTTCTAGAATCATCATATATGAAGCAACAACCTAGAAACAGAAAGAGAAGAGGAAAATCAGTATATAACTATGATAGCGCATTGAAAATAGGTGGAGCCAGACGGAACCATATAATGTTTGCTCAGCGTACTTGTGATGCCATTGTAGCCCATGCAGCCCCTGCAATTCCATAGCCTAAATAGGTGCACAAAACTATATCGCCAATTCCACTTATAAGACTTGCAACAGCCAAAGCCTTCAAGGGTCCCCATGAATCTTTCATACCAAGACTGCAAGAGAGAATGTGAACACCGAGACAATGACTTAACTTAGAACCTAATGTCAAAGCGCGAGTTAAGAAACTTTCATGAAATCGAACCGCATTTATCCTAATTGATGTAAAGTGCAACACAAAATAAAATGGCAAGGGCAGTAACTCATATTTGACATGAAAATGTACTGCCACGCTGACTTGAGAAAATGAGATATGTGAAATAAATAGCATATTTGCACCTTGCACTTTGAGCAACCCATCCAACGAGTAAAGCAGGCCACGACAAGGCTCGAATCTAACACCAAAAAGAAGAGAAATCAGTACTTACTATCTTCATTTAAATTGATGCGTACAAAATCAGAAGAGACATTACCTGCACATAAGTATTAGCGGCAGGTACTACATGTGCATTGTTTGGCCCAGTAAAAGCTGAGAGTGCCGCTGCACCGAATAACTTTGTAGACAATAGCATCATCAAGCCACACGCAAAGCCAATAAAAAGCAGGATAGACAAGTAATGTTGCACATCCTCTCTATCCTACACAAAAGATATTGGTTGATAGGAAATAAACATTAATATTGAAAAGTTTAGCTAAATGAAATAAACTACTAACCTGTTTAGCAAGGGAAGTAGCAATTATATTGGATGTAACAACGGACAGAAACATGAACGTTAAACTCATGTAATCACAAACAACTGTAGCAGGAGCTGGTCGAGGGAAATGAAAAATCATAAAATGCAACTTACAAGTATATATTATTAATGAGTGTTTTGTATCGGATTGGAATGATTACCCAAAGCCGCAAGTTCAGTTGAGCTTCCCTGACCAACAACAGCAGTATCAATCAGGCTCATGAGTGGATCACATAGCCATAACCCTATAGCTGGTCCAGTAAACTTAACAATTTCCTTCATTTGATTCCACACACTCTTCTCAGGTAGTTCGTCTTCATCCTCGGATTCGCAATTTTGTTCTAGACTTCCAATCACGCGAGCGGTTAAAATCCTAATGAGATGCCGGTTGGAAGAAGCCACAAGGAACAAGTTTGAAGTGTTGCTACTAATAAGGGAATAGTTAGGTGCGTGGAAACGGAGAGGTGGTGATGACAAGTTGAGGGGAGGAATGTGATGAAAGTGTAGTGAGAGTTTGAGTGTCATTATATTTTTTGTGGAATGGAAGGGAACGGAAAACAATGTTTGTTTAGGATGAAGATGGCTTATTGCAATACAGACAAGAGGAGTGAGTGTGAATTGATGTTCCCTTATTTAAAGGAAAAGTGAAAGCGTCACTACATTCATATTTATTTCAGAGTGCGCGGTAACCCACTTTGCAAATTACTTCCGATTATTCTTTCTTAAACTATACTTTCATAGTGCGCGCTAACCATACTTTTTAATATATTAAACTAATATATTTATAAATATTATAATTTAGAGAAGAAATTTATAATATATTTAAATTTTATGAATCATTTAATACTTTTCATCTTATATAAAACAATAATGTATGTTTTTTTAACATAATTAAAGAATTGAGAAAAAAATAAAATAAAAAATATTGATGAAATCTACATAGTATAAAAATAGTAAATATAGAGTCCTCTTATGATTTTTCATTTTTTTTTCTCTCTATATAGTCAAATGTTGAAAATTAAATTTTCAATTCATAAAATATAATGAGATAAAAGTTAAATATCAAAATCCGTAAACTCCATTTCAATAAATTTCACTATTTTAGCTAACAAATCATATTATTTAAATAATTAATATCAATTAAAAAAAAGGAAAAATATCTAAAAACTTTGAGGAAGATATGAAGAGTTATATTTGAAAACATTAATCACATGTTACTTTTGTATATGTGAAAAAAATACATTAAAATTAAGATCAATAGCATAATGAGATGCGTGTTTTGAGACATTGATATTGTAATTAAATAAAAAAATTACACAAAGCAATATTAATTATTTTATTTTTTTGTTGATAATGCTTTTAACAATTTATTGCAAAAAAAAGTATACAAAGATGAGATAATAATGATTAAAATTAGTATTGAAAAAATTAAATAATTTTATCAAAAAAAAAAGAGGCTATACCTTAAAATTAATAGAATAGAAAAGGAAGTAATAAATATAACACAACCTTTTTTATAATTGTTCTACACACCTTAGTGTTATATATATATATATATATATATATATATATATATATATATATATATATATATATATATATATAGATGTTAAAATAGGTTAGTCTATATCGATCGATCTGACTTGGTCTCAGAAATCTTAAGATTTGAATCTTTAAAGTAGATTTTATATTTTTAAGAGTTTTTTTTTAATTCAGTCTTAAAAAGCACGCTACCTATTAGCATTAGTCCATATAGATCATGGATAGCTCATTAAGTCTGTATAGTTATAAAATTTTTTAAAATTATATTAAATCTTGTATTGAGTTACAACAAAATAATACATTAAGGTTTTTCACTTCACTAAATTTTTTTCTCTATCCTATTCAATCTTTATCTTTTAAATATTATATATTAATATAATCAACATTCTTTTCTTGTATTCTATTAGTTTCTTTTATGTTAAATATTTAAATATTATTTTCTACAATTTAGACATATATTATATTTAAAAATACATTAATTTTATAAAAGATAATATAGTAATTAAAAATGTATTATATTTAAAATAATATAATTTTAATTTTATTTATCATAAATATTATAGGGTCGAGTTCGAATAATAATTTAGAGGAGCCTAGACACATTAGGGTCAACCGATGTAGAACCAGATAATCCATTTTGACAGCTCAGTGCATGTATTTTATAAAATAATTTTATGATGTATGTAACGAATGAGATCTAATTTAATAGGAAAATTTGTTTGGAAATTCATTTAAAAAAATGATAAAATATCTATTTTGATTTTTTAACTATATTTTTGGATTCAAATTGATCATTTAATTTTTGTTGTGTTACTTTAGTCTCTTAATTTATAAAATATTTTATTTTAGTTATTTTTGTCTGATTAACGATGAAATTTTTTTGAAGTCAATTGTTAAATCTGTTAATAATTAGACAAAAAAAACTAAAATAAAATATTTTAAAAATTAAGAATTAAGATGATATGAAAAAAGTTATGAGACCAATTTAAACTTAAAGATATAATTAAGATGAGAAATTAATAAATTACTAAAGAATGAGAAATTGATTTTTTTTTTGAATAACCATGTATTAAAAAAAATTCGCAAATAACCGCGTTTCGGAAAAAATTACGCAAATAACCATGTTTCAGATGACTCTCCAAAGGAGGAGCCATCTGAATTGGCGCATGCACCCATTGTTTAAGGGGAGGCGCCATCTCACTTGGCGCCTATGTGCTTAGGGCATGCCCTAAGTCAAGTGAGATGGCGCCTAAGTGTTATTTTAGGGCAGAATTTGATTTTTTTTGTCTGGTGCGTTGCGTGTTGGATACAGGATCAACAAAATGGACTTTTTATTTAAAAAAAAATTACATCCAACTGTATTACATTAAAATAACAGATAAAAAAAAAGCAGATAAAAAAAATGGATAAAAATATACAGGAAAAAAAACAGATAAATCAGTGATCCCCCGGAACCCGGTAATGACCCCCGGTTCCGCATCCCCGTCCTCGTCTTTCTCGTTCTGGGTGTCGTCGCGTTTCCTGCTGCGGCAGGGTCGATGGTCCAGCGAAGTCAATGCGGTCCGGATCCATAAAATCAGTCAGATCTCCATATCTAGAAGATCTGCTTTGGTAAAGTCGGTTACCCATACCCTCAAAGTTTGGTCGTGTTGGCGGTGGGTGGGTGTGATCGGTGGATCTGGAACTGACTGTTTAACGCTGGTTCGCGAAATGTCGCGGAAGCAAGAGTCGCCACCGTCTTTTATTTTCTCCAAATGGAAAGGACAAAAGCACAGAAAAATTCCTTAAAGAGATTGCTCTCGGTTCGGGAGGTAGATTATAGAAAGGGAAGGTGTTAGCACCCTTTCTATCCATGGTTATCCATGGGCTCTTAGATACTTGCTCATTTGTGTTTTCAAAAATGGTTTGTTTGCTTTTTCAATGTGGGTTTTAAAAAAGGTTTCTTTGAAAATTCCAGTTCGACTCTTGTATCGGTCCTCAAGAGTGTTTGAAAAAATGCTTTCGAAAACTTTTTGAAAATGTGTTGGTGTGAAAAGTATTTTTGATTTGTTTTTGAAATTAGAGCAAGTATCTACGAGTCGTCTACCTACCCTAAGGAATTCGTCTGTGTAAATGTCCTTTAAAGTAGTGCCATCCCACCATTGAGAGGTAGGTAGCACCACCATTGGAGGTGTTCGGGTCAATTCGAGGTTCGGGACATGGTGATCACCAGAGCAATAGGAAGACACCTTAGAAGCTACCCTCATGCCAGGTTCCCGGATCATGAGGACTTACTAAGACATCCTCTACTCGACGATCACCTTTCGAGGCAAGGCAACAGTGAGGCGTACCCTAGGGGTGGTGTGTGCGAATTGTGTGTCATTTTCATTGATATTTGTCTTGTCATGTTCATTGTGATCTACGCTTGATTTTATTTAAGGCCATTCATTCTTGCATGCTTTGTTTAATAGTTAAAAGTTTGCGGGAAAGGTAAATCTAAAGCTATTACAAATGGCGCGGGTCCACATCGCCAAAATTAAACCGGACCCGATTTGACAGAAAAATAAATAAAGTAAATAAAAGTGCGAAAAGTAAATGTTACAAAGCTTCGGGAGAGGTACATAATTATTCAAGCAATAAAATAAATACGCAAAATTAAACAATTAAGAACATGGGCGTTGGACCCTTTTGCAAAAATTAAATTAATAAGGAATTAAAATTAATATTAAAAGAAAATGTTTTTGGTATTTTTATGTTTTTTAAGATTTACTAGAAAAAGAATTAATTAAAACTAAATACTAAACCTAATTCTAATTATTTTTGAGTTATTAAGAAAATATTGACCTTTTTTAACCTAAATGCAACCCTAATTAATTTACAAGTTTAATTATGAAAATAAATAAGGTAAATAATATTATGGTGAAAAAAGAAAATTAAAAAGGGATAAAACACTTATTAAACCTAATTTTTACATACAATTTAATTATAAGCATAAATAAATAATTTTAATTTTTTATGAAAAGAAAATAATAGAAAGGATGAAAAAATTGAATAAACCCTAATTCTACATTTTTTAGATTTTATCATAAAAGAATTAAAATTAACCCTAATTTATACTAATTAATTTTACATGCATTTATTTACAAGAAAATATTAAAATAAAATTTTCATTATGTTTTTTTGTCTTTTTCTGATTTTTTATGAAGTTTTTGTATTTTGTAAAAAATAATTAATTAACTTAAACAAATAAAATCATAATTGAAAATAAAATAAAAAAATATAGAGAAGGCAAACCAGGGGGGTTCAGTCCCAAATTAGGAGGTATGGCCTAAGAATTCTGGGCCCAATAAGCTTCAAATTCGTTGACTTCTCCAGGCATTATGTGGCGCTTTTGACCAGGGTCTATGGTGTTCTTCAATCCTGCACCTTTGATTTGAATCTCTTGGACGCATGTACACTTGGATCTGGGAGGCATATGGTGTGTCTATGTTACTGAAGCTGCATTGGAAACGTTATTGAAAAATAATATAGAAATTATTGAAGACCTGGGGTTCGAACCCAGGTCTTGAGTTTTGCCAATCTTTATGCTTGCCATCTGTGCCAACTGCGCATCGTTAATATATGATAATAATCAAATAATATAAAAGAAAAACAAGGTTAGTGGGAGTCAGCGCGCGAATTTTCAAACGCACCAACCATCGTTCGCCACGAGGTCATCGTCCTCATTGTTTTATTTTTTTTTTTGAAACGAGAACGCATTGGCCACGGTTTTCTACGCGTTGCAGAAGGGGTCCTTTGAGAAAATAGCGATTAGCTCTCCTCAGCATATAAATTCATCGCGATGAGTGTCTCTTCTTCGTCTCAACTCACTGAATCCATCCATGACATTGTAGTGGTCGAATTTTACGTTATTAGGAAACCCCTAATTGGGAACCCAAGAAACCCTAAACTGCATCAATGGCTAAATCGCGTATATGGCACAAAAACGCAATCAATCTGTATGG